GGGTCTTTCTTTATCCTGAGGTAATCCTGCTTAAGTCTCTGAGTGGCTGTAGTTGGAGCTCTTTTGTTCCCGTTGTTGTTCATCTGATGATTGAGAGAACATGAACAGTGAGAAAACAAAAACAGTGAATTGCATAAATCTGGTTTTACACTGACACCACTGTCCAGATGTATTCCTTTACATTAGGAAATCAAAGCATATCCTGTTTTACTATGGATCTGAACTCTGGACTGCATAGATTTGAATGATTGAATGAATGAAGAACTCTGAATGAATGAATGAATGAATGAATTATTCTGGGTAGCGGAAAGCTTTAACCCTAATATGCCTGTGAAAGGTAACTGCAGCTTCAACTAGAGCAGATCAAAGAACATTGCATCCAGCACTGTCACCTGACCTATTAAATATCAATACTATTAAATATTTAATAAACTCTTAAACATATCACTGCAAATATTATTTATATAGCACATTTCATTACACGTAGGTTAAATGTGCTTGCCACAAAAGATAAAATATTTTTAAAACTATGTAGCTGTACAATCTCTTAAGGCAATAAAAACAACATAAGAGAGATACGTTAACAGTCACACACAAACACAAAGTTTTTAATCATATGCCTGCAAGAATAAAAAGGCTCCAAGTTTGTTTTTGAATGTAGACACAGTTGTAACTGACATCAGGTCAGTGGGAAGGTTGTTCCAAAGAAGAGAACCATTATAACAAAATGTACCCTCAGCAAACTTTCATCTCATTCTGGTAACAGTTTACAGACCTGCACCTGATGACCTGAGAGGTCTAGTTAGGTTATAGACCTAACTAGACCTCTCAGAGTCCGAGATGTACTGGGGGTCAAACCACTAAGTGCTTTAGGAACAAATAGAAGCATTTTAAAGGCATTTCTGTATTGCAGTGGCAGCCAATTAATTTCAAACAAGCTGAAGTTATCTAGCTGATGATTTGGATAATCTTGCAAATACACCAGTAACCTGGTTGATATGAATGGATGGACCATTTCCCAGTCAGTTTGAGATAAGAATTTTTTTGACATATGGTTATACTGTTAGAAAGCTGCATATGCAGTTGTGTTGGCCTTATTGGTATGATTATGAATGCTAAGACCACTGTCCAAAATGAGGCCAAGGTTCCTAACATGTTCAATGTGTTTTAACTAGAGTGAAATCGGGTTGAAAAGACTAACAGTGTGTTATTTAACAACAACAACAAAAGCAGAGAAGGGCAGTAAAATCTCACACTGAACAACGCATAACCAGTACAGGCTTCTGTTTATTTATTAGCAAATGCTAATGCTAACTGGAGAAACAGGCAGAAATAGCTCAACTTTGGCTGCAGAGTGAAGTTTAAATATCAAGTGATTACTTCGCCTCTGTTTTCCTAAAAGATGAAGTTGTCCAATTAGTACATCTTACAAAAAGCACCGAATTTTAAAAAACTATTTATCCAATCTCTTATTGTTCTCTAATGGCGCTGTGACTGTTTGTTTTATAACTCATGCACAGCACTGCTGTGGTGCTTTAATGCTATATGCATACAACACTGCCTCGCCAAGTGAAAAAGTAAGCATTTAGCAGAGAGTGGAGTATAGTAAGTATT